GGGTCGCCGGCGACCCGGTGGGTTTTGAAAGGTTACAAAGAAACTGGAATATTTCTAAAACCAACCGATCCTCTGCTGTCTTCCCCACCTCTCTCCTCTTCCTCCCACTGCAGAAAGTGCAAGTTGTTATAACTGTTCTGGACTATGACAAGATCGGCAAGAACGATGCCATTGGTAAGGTGTTCGTGGGCCTGAACAGCACAGGCACGGAGCTGCGCCACTGGTCCGACATGCTGGCCAACCCTCGGAGACCAATCGCCCAGTGGCACGTGCTGAAACCCGAGGAGGAGGTGGACGCTCAGCTCGCCACCAAGAAATAGGCAGGGCCACTTTTAGCTCCTTGCCTTGTAGTACTCTTTAGCCAGTTTGTGTAAATACCTCAGTGATATATGGGTCCATCCATGTAAGCCCTCCCTTTACCTTCTGATTACACAAAGTAAAGCGTTCAAACGTCTCGCTTTTTTAAAATCTTAGTTTCTCAGTTTGTGTTCCCCTTTTATTTGATTGATTTCCTTCTCTGAGCCCTTCACCGCCACGACCAAAAGCCCCCTTCTTTTAAGCAATATGATCTGTATAGATAGCGCATGACTGAAAGAGTTTATTGTATCACAGTTGTATATATAAGTATGAAGACAAAAATGATTTCTAGTTTCTGTGTTTGTATGTTGTTACCCGTTTCCTAATCTGTGTATATCTCGATGTTTTTAATAAGATGTTCTATTTTAAATTATGTAAATGCAGATATAGAGGAAAGCCAATATTATATATCCCAGGATTTAAAAATTCTACCTTATTACTTTATTGCATTCCAGAATAAAACGACATTCAACTCCAACCTGCGAGTGAGGAAAATGTTCCGACTGTAAAGGACGGCGTCTGGCTTTAAGTTCAACAATGTAGGGTAAAAAAAAAACAGTTGAATATAAAAACAATATGAGGCCATTTACTGCTATGGTTCTGTTTGGAAAATTATGCTGCTGGAAATGTTCAAAGCACATGCCTTCTAATGATATTTCGCACTCGGTTCTCTACCAGGATCTGCAGTATTTAGGTTGAAAAGATCACATCTGAGTCAGTCTTTTCATATTTGGCTAAATATTTTTGGCTTATTTTTTAAGAATTTGTTGAGAAACGGACGTTTCGCAGATTAAAAAAAGCACCAAGCTGTAGCCATTGTGCCCTTAATCTTGTTTAACAATATTATGTTTAAACAGCCTTGTCTGGAAGTGTCATGTTTTAAAAAGATACAAAATTGCAGATCTGGACTTAAGGGGACTATTTTTTAGCGCAATTCAGCGTGTTGACTATTTTTAGTAAAGTGCATGATGCTTTTTATTTTTACGATCTTTTACCTAAGGCCGGCGGACACCAGGGGGAGCCGTTCTGTTACGATCCCCTTGCCTTCAAACAGAGGAGTGGCCTAAAAAGACAAAAATCAAACTTTGTCTCAACTGAATGTTGAGTTTCTAAACACTGCCATTTTCAGGGAGGCGACTTAAGCTGAGACCCTCTCTTCATGCACACTCCCACTTGCTAGTGGTCGTAGCTTCGGTTTTTCGGGAACAATGTCTCTGGCTGCAACGGTGCCCTAAATCGCAGTCTATGCTTTACGTTGCCTTCTCACAGTGACAATAGAGCTAGCCATGTTTTACTGCCAATTTTAACTTTTATGTGGCTGCTGTTTTTGCACTGGACGTCTTTGAAACTCGCTCGTTGTCTTCTCTAAGAGACATTTTTAATTTGTGTCGGTTTACCTGCAGGGGGAGCCAGAGATCCTCACAAGTAAAAAAAAATCACGCTTCTCTGAAGCAGGGCAAGGAATCAAAAATAGAGGTGTGGGGAAATTTGCTCCATCTATTTAGTAAACTGTACATTATTAGGAATGGTTTATGTTTAGCGACAATTGCAACCTTTTTTTAAACTAGCCTAGTATTATTTCCAGATTATGATTTATGTTGATTGTTAACATGTTTTATAGCTTTTTGCTGTTTAAAGGATTGGCTTAAGGTGTTGATTGGGATTGCTTTGGTTGTTTTCAGCTAATCCTAAAATAATCTCCACATGGAGACTAAACCATGATTGGAGTTTTAAGACAAATATTGAAAATCAATTGTATTCTTTATTCATAATTTCATAACCTAAGTGAATGGACTCAAATCTGTGCGTGCATGTTCTTAAATTTAGTCGATAAGTTGGCATGTGTGCAAAGGGTTTATGCAAACTACCAAATGCTAAAGCGATAAAGTGTTTCTATTAAAAGAAAGTAATCTCATAAAGAATCCAGTCCCTTTTAAAAATGTCCTAAACAGAGGGAGCGGATTGGAGGACATACATAATGTTATTGAAACTGCATGAACCTAAAAAATTTGGACAGAAAATTCAAAATCTAAACTGAAAACATTGAAGCTAGTTCCATTTTTTCTTTTTTCTTTTCTTTTTTTATAAATGCAGGAATAGATTATAATCCATGAGGCAATGCATGGCAGTCGATAATTTCAGTCATTATGTTTTTCTAATATGAAGGGATGACTTGTATTCTAATGTACAGTTTTTAAACTGCTGAAAAAAACTGATTGCAGTTTATTAAACCTTCTTTAAACCAGTAGGAAGAGTTTACAGTCTGTTCAGTTACATAAATTAATGAATCTGAATGTAAGCCATGCATGTAGTTTTCCCAAATTACATGGATCAATTACTTATGGTTCATGATTTCCTAAAAAAAAAAAAAAGTTCACATTTCAATTTATCTAATTTGGGAGAAAAAACTGCTGTTTGCAGAAAGGTTTTTCTTTACTAAGAAATCTGATCAACTGTTCTTAAACTGGTTGTGATTTCTTTTGTACAGTTTTCTAAACCGAGGGAACAGCTAATTTGTGTACATTTTTATAAAAAAAAAAGGAAGGTATGATTGTGCATACAGTTTCCAAAACAGTGGACGTGGATCTAATAGGTTTCCTCACCTAGTGCACATATTAAAGTCCATGCATACATTTTATAAACTAAAAGAACAGATTTCAAACTCTGCGTACAGTTTCCTAAACCGAGAAAATAGATTTCCCCCGCCTCCTTTTTCTATTCCACCTTCTTGCCTGGCACCTTCGGGCCACAGCATCTGTTTAATTTTGTCGTTTACACACGACTACACCTGGAAAGCAGGTAAACAACCGTAAAAGTGAGTGGTCTTCTTCGTCCATCTTGTTTTTTTTTTACTTAAGGGTCCAATTAGGAGTGGAATAATTCATAGAAACCATGAAGTCTTGGAGGAACCTCTTGCTTATATCGATGCTTACACTTCAGGAGGACTTTCTAAATGTTTTCAATGTTATTGTGTAGTTGATAGCACTATTATGAAAAAGCTACTTGTCATTCCATAGGAGTCTCTGACGACTGCTTTGTGTATCACTGTGACTGCCGTGTGTGCTTAGAGATGTAGATTTATCAGTAGGTAGCAGGTTTGTTCTGTAGTGATGTCGTAGCGTTTAACGCCATCCCCCCCTTCCTGCCCCCTCCTCCTCCATGCAACCAGAGAGAGAAAGAGCGTGCCGACGTCACGCGTGTTTATCCGAGCGGGTCGCTTTCACAGCCTTTTGTTTGAGCACTGTGCAATACTTGTATGTCCATCCCATAATGTTAAAATCAGCAGAGAGGATGACGATCGTCCTTCCAGGCCAGCGGTTCAGGCGCAGCGCACCGTAGATCCAGCTTGTTCACCTCTTCTTAAAGTTTTCCTCCCTATTTTTTCCGCAGGTCCGTTTTTCTCTTGCACACAGTTTAGCATCAGAAGTTTCAGGGAGTCTTAGTTAAAAACCAAACAAGATGAATATCCCTAAAAATGCCATGTATATATCCACACCATGTCAAAAATCAATATAAAGGGAGATAAAATATAACTGGTTCATTTCTGTTTTTAAGCCTCATCATTCTTTTTTATTTTCTGCCTTAAGTCAAAATCTCTTTTTATATTTAAGAAGAAAACTCTGAATGTACAGTACATACTGTGTTGGTGTAGATTTCTTTAATCGTGAGATTATTACATGTACTTTGCACTTTTTTGTTGTAGAAAAAAGTAAATACAGTAATCTAAAGGATTTTTAAACTCTACATTCATGTCCAATGCGAAATAAAAGCTCAATCCTTCCACACGGCTTCATCCCTATTGAAGGCTTAAAGTGCCACAATTCAATGAAATGGCTTTACTTTACATGTGTGATCATTGGAATATACTTTGAATAAATACATTAAAGCATTCAAAAATCTATATTTTATCTAAAGGGAGTAATTAATACAGAAAAATAACCATGAATAGGTTTTTAGTTACTTTAATTTTGTTCAACAAACTATTAAGAAATAATTTAATCTGACATCTGATTGGTTGATCTGCATTCAGCGTGCTCTGCTGACTTGGATAATAAAAGTGTAAAACGAGCAACACTTGCACAATAAAGATTTTTAATCAAATGCTATATGCTTATAATTTCAATTTATTTAAAAAATTTAAATATTAAATATCTGATATAAATATTAGATTAGATTTCTTTGATTTTATTTATACTTCATCAAAATAAAAAAAAGTGTTAGAATACATTTTTTTGCTAAATATAATATTTTCTTTATTTTGAAAACTATTAAAATGTGCATTCAATTCTGTATTGAAACCTTTAAATAGTTATTTATGGATTATTTTAGCAGTTTATTTAAATCCCACATATCTAATTTGACCCACAACTATCTAATTTGTTTGATACGTCATTTTGTAAACAACTGAATAAATATTCCATAAATTCAGAAATATTCACATCATTCAATTAAAAAGGAAATTTCCCCAAACCTGTTTTAGTTTAATATTATTATTATTATAATGTTTGAATTCATCATGAAAAAAATAGCCTGAATTGATTATATATATGCTTTAACACAGGAAAATTAAATAAATCGTAATTTTAGACTTTTTAAAAATTTACAGGATTATTACAAATAAATTGTATTTAAATAAATTAATTTCTTTAAATGTGTCTCCCTTTTCTCTTATTTATCACATGTGTGTATAAGACACATTTCTATTGAATTATCTCACTTTTTGCCATCCATATATTTCTCCTACTTGAAGGAATATTTTATTTGACATTGTGCAAGCGTAGCTCCATGCAATCCACAAATGCATCAGATTTTTAACGTAAACTGAACAAGGATCAAATCCGAGGCCTCAACGAATCAAGGCTGTGTTGAAGGATTTATCTGATCAAACAGAGATACATCAGGGAATTCAGAATTCGGGGGCATTGTTGCAGAATCCATCGGATTGTGAGGTGGAAAAACACCTACAAAGCAAAAAGCCATTATTACCCACACTGCAACATCCCCCCCTCCCATGTAATGGTTTCCTACCAAAGCGTGCAAGTATAATCAACAAACAAATCCCCCCCTTAAAGAAGCTGATCAAGCTTTCTGTGTGACAAGATTCTCTCCAATGGAAAAGCCACACTGACCTTTCAGAAGCAAAGCTGTGTAAAGTATTAGAATCTGATGCTATAGAAAGATCCTAGTTGCCTTTGTGTATATCAACTGCCTGCTTGAGTATTTTGTGTGTGAAAGTTTTCTCTGTAATCTCGTAGAACTGTTTGGGGTGTTTTTTCCTGCCATATCGCTCGCAGTCACAGCGAGCCGCTGACGGTTATATTTGCTGTGTATACCTTCATTTTTCTGATGAGGTGTTTTACAGTTTTGTTTCACTTTGTGTAGTGATTCACTCTGTGGAGTTTTCTGACTGTTGTTATATAACTTCATATACACAAATGATCAATAAAAATGTTTTATTTCCTGTTGATACATTTCATGTCGTGTTTTCATTCCCATGCAGGGTTGCACTCAATCATAACCTGAAAGAAAAGACAGTCGTGATCTTTTACTGGATGTGCGTGACCAATTTTTGATGCCTTGAAATTTGCTCCACACTCAGGGCAGCCTGTTTAACAGAGATCAGCACTGCCATCTACTGGATAAGAAACATTTTTTTACCACATCTATTAAAAAAATATTATTTAAATCTGAAAATGTGCCCTGATGGGTCAAGAAGCCATCAAGTTATTTCTCTGTTTGTAATATAATCTCAGGATAAATCTAGCTGTTAAATGAAAGAATTAGAGGTTCTTACAGAACAAAAGAGCAAGATTGATCACAGCAGACGGTCTGAGGAAAAGTGTTAATTCTAAATAAAATCCATAGCTGTGAACGTCTCAAAGATTTAATATATCACTTCAAAATAACAAAAGAGTGTAGAAACTGGGACCCTATAAACCCTAACCACTAATTGACCCACATCTGAAGGGAGCATTGGACCAAGATGCATCTAAGAAGCCCATGGTAACTTTGGAGGAGCTGCAGAGATCCACAGGGATCAGGTGACCTGTTGCAGTTAACTAACCTGACCTTTACTGCAAAGCAGCAAGATGGGAGCCAGATGTAATCTCCCACAATCCATGGCGGTGATGCAGAAACCAGGAGAATACGCTCTGGTCAGATGAGATTAAAATTTGTCTTTTAAATTATTTGAGTAAAATGTTATTGTAGACAGAAATGTTATCCTCTACATAACCCCGAACAAACTGTTCCCCTAGAAACATATCATGGCGACAGCATTGTTGCAGCGAGGCACCATTTTTTTAGGAGAAACAAAGTTTGTCAGATTTGATTGATGGATGGAGCTAAAAACAAGTCTGTCTGGGATGAAAACAAAAGGCATGAGACTGAAGGTTCACCTTTTGGGAGGTTGACTATAAACATAGAGCATCAGTGGAAGGGTTTATATCAAAGCTTGTTATTGTGTTGGAAAGACCAAATAAATCTAAGAGAGTCTCTGACTTATGTTCACAGCCCCTTTAGATTCAATCTAACTGACAATCTAACTGTTATGTTTTATAAGAAGAATGGGTTAAGCTTAGAATAAAATTCAGCAGGTAGATAAATATGGCACAAACCTTGCAGGAAATAATTTTACAATGTGTGCTTTTGCAAAAAGTGAAAAGTATTCTGATATCTTATGCTGCATCGAGGAGGATCAGTAAAAAATGCACAGCGTACTTTTCTGTTTTTATATGTAAAAAATGTTGGAACCTGCTTTTTTTCCTTCCTTTTCACAATCATTCACTAAAGTTAACAATCTATATTAAATCCTATATCATAAAGCTTTAAATTTTATGTTGAACACTAAAGTTCGAGCTGTAATCTTTCATTAAACTCGCCTAAATGTTGCCTTTTATATATACTGCCCTTTGCTATAAAGCAGATGATCAAAGAAAGATTCATACTTATGTGAGTTTTTAAGGTTTAGCATCATTGGCACTAAATTCTGTGGTAATTTTGATGAAAAACGAGATACACCGCTTTAATATAGACATGTTCATACAAAGACACACATACTGTTATTGAATGTGAAGGAATTAGCTCTGATTGCAACATTTACAATAAAGTTAACCAGTTTCTTAGGAAGTATTTTTTTGTGCAAAAACACAGTAATAAGATGATGTGTGACAGCTGCAGGAGGAAATGTTTATGTATCAGACCTATCCATCAGAGATTATGAAGCATGCATGAACAGAGATATAATTTAGGTCGGAGTGTATTTTCAAATCTAGTGATGTTAGATACAACCTATAACCACCATGTTTGCTCATTTTAAGGTGGTTGGAGTTTTTTGTTTCCTTAACAACCTTGGTTCCATTTTGAATAAACTTTGATGCAGAAATGTTATGACTAGTCCTATAAAATTCCCACTGACTCGATGGTTGACTCAAGCTGCTGACAAAAAAAAAGTCCATTCCTAGAGGTTTTTACAGACAACTATAGGTATACAAGCATATTAGTGAAAAGAAGCCATCTATAAATATATAACAGATGTTTCAAATTGTCTTACTTTGGCTGTTGAGGAATTTCTTCTTGATTTGAGGCAATATTTAATTTTTTTTTTTTAAGGTATCGATCCATGAAATCCACAGAACCTTCCAAATTCAACCAAAATCTAATCTCAAATAATCCAGGCTGATCTGAAGGAATTATAGAAATTGAGATTAATTAGGGCTTCATCTCAGATTCATCTGTTCATTGGATCAATAAAGCTTATAAGACAAAAGGCTGTTATTACGTACATGCACTGTGTGCACACAACCATGTCAGACTGTGCATATCGTTCAGTAGGCTGACATTTTTTGTTTGTAAAAATATTTTTTATCATTCTGTAGTATGAATAAGTCTTATTCATTCTTTGGTAAAATTAATTTTGAATTTCCATTACTTGAAAGCCGACTTGAGTATCTGTGTTTAATGGATCTATTTTATATGCAGAGTTAACGATTAAGCTAAATTACCTGAATATATTTTCTAAGCTATTCTTATTTGTCAAAATCAGAGGTGTCGATTAACGAAGTACTAATACTTCATTACTGTACTTAAGTACACTTTTTAGGTATCTATACTTTACTCCATTACTTATTTTTCTTCCTACTTCTGACTTCTACTCATTACATTTTCACACAAGTATCTGTATTTTCTATTCGTTACATTTTCAAAACAAACGTTACTCGTTACTCTTGGCATCTGGCTGTTTTTTTTTTTAAAGGTTACTTCATACTTTTATACTTTAAGTAGTTTTTAGAGCACATACTTTTTCACTTTTACTTGAGTAAAGAGGTCAAATCGATACTTTAACTTTTACCAGAGTGTTTTTAAACTGCAGTATCTTTACTTCTACTTAAGTAACAAATGCAGATTGCAAACAACTTATAGGTGCATACCACCACCTACTGTACATGAGTGTGTAGCGCTATAGTTCCACCTACCATATTCTATGTTTTATTTTTGTGTTATTTAAAAATAAAAAGAACGGTTAATAATAACCAAATTTCCCTCCCTATCCATCTGTCCCTAAAATTCCTTTAATATTCAATTCTCTTCCTTTTTCCATAATGATCCTGATCCTCTCTCTTTCAGTTGCATATTTAATGCAATCCATCAAAAACATTTTCCACATTTTCTTTTCTTTCAAACCCTCACATATGTCATTATTTCTCTTCCTTAGTATAAA